GTGGGCAAAGGCAGTTTGAAGGCTTCGGTCTCTCATGTTCTGCTGCTGTTTGATGGTAAGTTTGGAGAGAGAGAGAAGTTGCATGGCTGAGTCCCGCTTCAAACATCTCTTCTTGTAGAGTGCGTTGGAGGAGCTTTTGTGTATGCTAAAGAAGGATGTCAGCTGAAACTCTAGTACAGGGGTTAGAGCTGCCCAGAAGTGACTCCAGCAGATCACCAAACATCAGTGTACGGCCCATGGTGACAGAGCCACTAAAATCTTCAAAGAGGTTCTAGGAGAGGATAGTCTAGGATCTGAAATAGAAAGAGTTCTTACCTGCAGAAAATGGCATGAAGTAGTTACTCTTTCTAAAGGTACCATTTGCATTCAGGAAATGTCCTGGATCAAATTTTTCTGGATTTGGAAATTCCTTGCTATCATGTAGGATAGGAGTCAGCACAGGGAATATTAGAGTATCCTGAAATAACAAAGAGAGGAGGAGGAAGTTAAAATGGAGACATCCTAAAGGAAAGAGGCACTGAGAAGTTCCCAGAGCTGAATAGAAGGACAGCCAAAGTTTAGGAAGTTTAAAATGAGCATTTAATGAACAAAAATGTGTGCCATTGGTATGACAAAGATTTTTTTTTTTAATGAATTTTAATGGTGAGTCTGATTAGAGTATTTAATATTGCTTCCAAATAAATTTGAACTTTGATTCCTTGCATTAACATGAAAAAGATAGAAAGCTCTATCTCCCTCTTTACCTAGAGGATGAAGTTTGGGTTTTTCTTTCAAATACAAGGGGTTGGACTCAATAACTTCCAGAATCCCCTTCTAAACAAAATTATTCCAATTTTATATCACATTTCAGTGTTTTTGAAAATAAAATAAAATAAAATACAATGAATAGAACACATCATTGTTTTCAAGAGATTATGGCGTTTCTCAGACACAGTGGAACAGACCTTGGGGATAAAATAGTCTCTGAACTTGGTGTCTTTAATCACAGCATGTGGGACATTTAGTGGAAGGAAATCAATGAATCTCTGGATTTCATGGACCACAGCATCTGTGTAGGGCATCTGGCTCCGATCTGCCATGCAGGGGCTTCGGTCTCGGCCAATCACACTGTCAATCTCCTTTTGCATTTTCTCTGTTAGGAAATAAGTAAGTGTTGAATGGACAAAAGTGCCACATCTGTTTGCCTAAACCTCTCCCCATATCTAGAACAAAACTTGCTTTTAGCATACCAGGAATATATGAATGTACTTAGTACTAGTATCTCTCTCCTGTGAATAGAACTAAGACCAATATACATTTCCACACTGAAAATACATGTTTCCTTAGTCAGGGGACCATTGCCACATGTGGTGGTGACAAGAATTGTCTAAATTGATCCCATGACCTATTAAAAAAGTATTTAATTATTTATTTCCTTTTCTATTACCTGCTATCTCTGGGTATTTGTGGAGAATCAGAAGTCCATGTCTCAGCGTGGTGCTGGTGGTCCCTGTTCCTGCGAGGAACAAGTCAAGCGTGGTTCTGCTTAAGGTCTCAACATTGAATTCTGAGTGACCATTCCCTTTCTCCTGGAGGAACATTTGACAGAATGTTTTGAATGACAAAGCTAGGCAGTTTGTTTAATAAGGAAAGTCCTGTACCCATAATGTATGTTTTTAAGCACATCTAATGTCCTTTCAAAAATATGACACTCACTCTCCAGAACACCAGCATTTATGGTACTTTTACTAAATAATAGTATTAAACATTTTTTAATACAGGAAGAGCATCGAATTACATCCACCAGGTTGGTCTTCAGCTTCCCTAACTTTGGCTAGTGCTATTAATTATGTGTTTAAAAATCCTTGATAAGAAAATGGAGAGGATAGAATGAAGTTAATGTGCGAAGAAAAGCAAGTTCCCCTCTGTATTTGCAAAAAGCCCAGTGCCCTGCCACAACTGAAATGAAGTTGAAATTCAAGCCGTGGTTTTCTTACAATCCAATAAATCTCTCACTCAACATTACCTGCTCCATTTTGTTGAGAAAAGCATCAATAAAATCTCGAGGACAACTGGGATCCAGGGTTTTCTGGTGCTCCGCTATGATTTCAACAGTAAATTGATCAACTTTTTCAAGATTTTTTATCATTTTTTGATGAGGCCCAGGTAAATACTCCATGACAGTTGGGAAGAAATTGTATAACTGTAAAAATAAAACGATGGAAAGCACATTCTGATTCATGTGGGTACAATAAAATGTTCCCCTATCTGTAACTATAAAAATTGAGCAACCGAGCTGTTTTGGAACAGTAGGCCTTTATTATTCAGCTGGATTTAATGCCTTTTACTTGCCACTTCTGCCATGATATCATTCTTTGGACATACAATGGCAGTTCCATAAGGTAAGAAGAAACAACAGGAGTTGGTTATTTAACTGCCTTTTTGGCTTCCAAAAATGTCTCCAAATTTGGGAAAATCCAGTCCAATTAAAAATTAATAACACGAATAAATATTCATTAATAAAATAATAGAATAATTAAGAAATCTATTAATTAACTAAAACTGTACACACCTGTGCTTGTATACAGTTCTGGAGTTCGTTGTTTTCCTCTAGCAACTCAATTAAATTTAGAAATTTCTTGTCCTCGTAGTCAAACCTATCCCCAAAGACGATTGAGCAGATGATGTTGGAAACAGCGTGGACCAAGAAGGTGCCGGGGTTGAAGGGTTGCTCTGCAACCACAAAAAAACAACAATGATATCTTGCTTTCAGTATCTCAGGCATCATCCCCTCCTCTGACGCTACAGGGACGTTCACATCCTCTTGAGACCCAGAGTTTTGCAGTTCTTTGAAAGGATGGGGAAGGGCTTGTCCAACGTATTCTTCCCTACTTGAAGTGAACTGATTTCCCTGTTTGAATGGTTTAACTATCTCTTTTGTCCTGTTCTCAGCAGAACACTGGTCTTGGTTCCTCTTCAGCTGACACACACCTGTCTGCCTTATAGACTGTTTATTAGAAACGGTCTAAAGATTCCCACCAAAACCCAATTAAACCATAAGGTCTTTACCTAAGCCATGTCTCTAGGTTATTGCATCCTGTTTACGAACTCTCTTAATGTAACATCAATTGTATAACCCTCCCCTAGGGGTTCAAATGCCTGTGATCAAAGTCTAGTTTGAATTAGCACAGCTGCATAAGCTTCTAAGAGAGCTACGGTGCGAGAAAAAAGTGAGATTAAACCCAAGAAAGAAAGGAAAGGTATAATTGCAGACAGTCATAGAGTACATCTCAAGGTTTCAAGAGGAGAAACAACAACATGAAAAGATATGAAACACTAAAAGTCAGAAAATGGCAACTTGGCAGCATTGAGGATCAGCCTGTTCCAAGGAGCAACAGCACCAGCCCATCTCTTCCTGACAGATGACTCTCTGGCCATTGAAGACCCAGCAGATGTCTTGTCAGAGGTGGTGAGCATGTTAATGCTGAGCCTAGTAGATAACTAGTCCTAGATATTTATTATTTGTATTAAGAATAAATAATGGCTTTATACTTTTCAGTTGCATATATCTTGCTTGCAAAGCCTTTTAGTACACAGTAAAAAATGCCATAACAAGGTGAGCCAGAGATGGAGGCTTGCAGTAGGGCACAGGAAATACCATATTACCATGCTAGTGAAAGCATAAGAGCAATGCAGGTGAGAGTGTTTTCTCTGATTTGTGGCAGGAATGTTTATCTATGAAGCCAGACAGATTTTTCTAGTGGCTCATGGGAAACAGCAATGCTTCACCGTCTGTTTAGAGCCGTCTGCTTTTTTCCCCTTGCAGAATAAGCACACATTGAAGGCTGGCTGTGGAAAGGAAGCCTGTGATGCAGGCTGGTACTGTGCCACTCTCAGCCCAAGTACTTAGAAGTAACATTGTCTTACATACTACTGGAATACGCATTTCTAGGTTGAAACCAAGGGGGCTACATTATGCCCTGCCCTCAAAAGCAGCCTATAGGCCCTGTTCCCATTGCATGCCCCCACCAATACTGGGAGGTATTGGCTAGTGTTCAGATGGACTGGACCCAACCCCAAATATCTGTAAATGAGTTCTCTGGTCACCCACTTCTTCAAGATCCATTTACTTAGAGAGACAAAGCAAGGACGTGCATGTTGCTTGGTTACCTGGCAGTGCCCAGCCCTGTGTCTATGGCTGAATTCCACCAAAACCTGGGCTTTGGGGCCAAGCCATTCCCTTTGCCACTTACTGTCTTGTTCCTCAAGCAGAACAGGTTAAAGGATGCTTTCCAACAGCAGTCTCCTACATTTATCCCTCCATACTGTTACAGTGCCTTTGACTGACCCACTCCCAGCAGTGATAACTTTGCCCATTGGAGCAGGGAGCAGCAACAGCAGCCACATGCCCACTTCTTGGGTCATAGATTTGGTGAAGCAGCCCTACACCACTCATCGTCTCATTGCAGATGTGCAGGGAGTTCCAGCAGGCAAAGTCCATGTCCTACCGTGTGTGTTCCTGATCCTCTCCACCAGAAAATGAGCTTCCTCCTGGATTCGCTCCTCGATGCCCTTCTTCCCCATCCCAAAATCCCGCAAGGTGGTGAGCACAAATCGTCGGAGCTGCTTCCAGGTCTCCCCATTGCTGGTCACAATGCCTGACACAGGAAGGAAAAATAGACCTCCATGAGGAAACAGAGTTTTTTTTTCCTTGAACGGGATCTACACAGTAAGTTCTCAACATGCAAAGACACCTCCCTGTGGAGTTATGCTGCAATTGCTATATGCGCAAAAATGTAATTTCTCTGCAGTTCTGGAGGTGACAAATGCAACCCATCAGAGCACTTTGAGTAAAACTGAGTTTATTCCCAGAGTAAGAAAAACTATGTTAGGATGTAAATAAGAAGGTAACACTGGTACTGAATTGATCTTGGCCTTAGGCACGTGGCATAACTGCTCAAATGTTCTGCTATGTACCTTCACGCAGCGTATCGTTATTGACAATGCCATTAATACCGTACTATAGCACCATGGAATAGGTACTATTTACCCAGATAAATGCCATACTTGGAACTGCCTTGGTGAATAAGCTCAGGGCTTAATCTTGAATGTGTCCCTTACTGGGACAGCCTATATTATCTTGTATTTGTTGTGCTGTGGACTTTACTTTTGCTGGTTCTTAGCTGTATGTATATTGCCAGTATTTTCAGAAATGGGAGAATAAGCATAAGATCTTAGAGGCACATTCAATGAACAAAATTTTATCCAGAATTTGAAGGATGCTGAAAATAGAAAGGCACTCACTGAAGCCAGCCTGTGACCTTAAACAGTTCTCCAGGGGTCCAGTTTACTCAGGGGTCCAAGTAATGAGTTGGGCTTTTAGTCTTTTATTGCTAATTCGTATACATGAAAGTAGTAAATGAAATCCACCATTCCCTCCTCCACTGCCCTCTCAGCTGGGATCCTGAAGCACTGGGTGTATCAGCTTTGTAAGCTAACATTACCAGGGACACACCTGTGCCTTGGAAGAGTCTCTGAAATAGTGGTAGATTGCCTCTTCCACTGAAGTCATCTGCCTGATCAATCAGAGCTTCTTTCACAGCATCATAGCCATGCAGCACCACAGCTTTTTGTGGGCCTAAATCTATTGTGAAGACAGGACCGTACTTTTCGCTGAGCTGTAGGAAAGAGAAACACAAAGAACAACATGTCTGAATGTTCACGATGTGAAAAGAAGTTTGTAGCAAAGGGGTCTGAGGGGTGACGTGGATTGCTGAGACATGGCCTTGATTAGCAGCAATGCAGACATCTTTCAGCTGTGAATTACAGCC